CTCCCCTGTAACTGTAACAAAGTGAGTGTAATACTATATATATATATATATAGGAAAACACAGTAAACGTAACAAAGTGAGCAAAATAAAGCATGTTCAAGAGCATTCTAATGACCCACAGAGGTTCTCAACCCTAACCCTAACCCTAACCCTAACCCTAACCCTAACCCTAACCCTAACCCTATTTCTCCCCTGTAACTGTAACAAAGTGAGTGTAATACTATATATATATATATATACAGGAAAACACAGGAAACGTAACAAAGTGAGCAAAATAAAACATGTTCAAGAGCATTCTAATGACCCACAGAGGTTCTCAACCCTAACCCTAACCCTAACCCTAACCCTAACCCTAACCGTAAACCTAACCCTAACCCATTTCTCCCCTCTAACTGTAACAAAGCGAGTGTAATACTATATATATATATATATACAGGAAAACACAGTAAACGTAACAAAGTGAGCAAAATAAAGTATGTTCAAGAGCATTCTAATGACCCACAGAGGTTCTCAACCCTAACCCTAACCCTAACCCTAACCCTAACCCTAACCCATTTCTCCCCTGTAACTGTAACAAAGTGAGTGCAACACTATATATATTTATATATAGGAAAACACAGTAAATGTAACAAAGTGAGCAAAATAAAGCATGTTCAAGAGCATTCTAATGACCCACAGAGGTTCTCAACCCTAACCCTAACCCTAACCCTAACCCTAACCCTAACCCTAACCCTAACCCAGTTCTCCCCTGTAACTGTAACAAAGTGAGTGTAACCCAGATGACAAAGTACGACTACATGTGGAGCCTGGGCTGCATGCTGGCCAGCATGGTCTATATACACTGACCCTATATAACCAAAACCATAAACCAAAACCAAAATAAAGCATGTTCATAGCACCCCTACCCACAGAGGTTCATAACCCCTAACCCATAACCCTACCCCTAACCCTGACCCATAACCCTCCCCTGCCACCCCCAGACTGTAACAACAGCCTGGACATGTGGAGCCTGGGCTGCATATATATATATGGTCTTCAACACTGACCCTACCCATAACCATAACCCATAACCACAACCATAACCATGACCCCTACCCCATAACCCCGACCCCATAACCCTAACCCTGACCCATAACCATCCCCTGCCACCCCCAGATGTACGACTACAGCCTGGACATGTGGAGCCTGGGCTGCATGCTGGCCAGCATGGTCTTCAACACTGACCCTACCCATAACCATAACCATAACCCATAACCATAACCATAACCATAACCCCTACCCCATAACCCCTACCCCATAACCCCTACCCCATAACCCTGACCCATAACCATCCCCTGCCACCCCCAGATGTACGACTACAGCCTGGACATGTGGAGCCTGGGCTGCATGCTGGCCAGCATGGTCTTCAACACTGACCCTACCCATAACCATAACCCATAACCACAACCATAACCATGACCCCTACCCCATAACCCCGACCCCATAACCCTAACCCTGACCCATAACCATCCCCTGCCACCCCCAGATGTACGACTACAGCCTGGACATGTGGAGCCTGGGCTGCATGCTGGCCAGCATGGTCTTCAGGAAGGAGCCCTTCTTCCACGGCCACGACAACTACGACCAGGTGAGTTCCTCCTGCAGCCCCTGCATCACCTCCTGCAGCCCCTGCATCACCTCCTGCAGCCCCTGCATCACCTCCTCCTGCATCCCCCCTGCATCACCTCCTGCAGCCCCTGCATCACCTCCTGCAGCCCCTGCATCACCTCCTCCTGCAGCCCCTGCATCACCTCCTCCTGCATCCCCTGCATCACCTCCTCCTGCAGCCCCTGCATCACCTCCTGCAGCCCCTGCATCACCTCCTGCATCCCCCCTGCATCACCTCCTCCTGCAGCCCCTGCATCACCTCCTGCAGCCCCTGCATCACCTCCTGCAGCCCCTGCATCACCTCCTCCTGCATCCCCTGCATCAGCTCCTCCTGCAGCCCCTGCATCACCTCCTGCATCCCCCCTGCATCACCTCCTCCTGCATCCCCTGCATCAGCTCCTCCTGCAGCCCCTGCATCACCTCCTGCAGCCCCCCTGCATCACCTCCTCCTGCAGCCCCTGCATCACCTCCTCCTGCAGCCCCTGCATCACCTCCTCCTGCAGCCCCCCTGCATCACCTCCTCCTGCAGCCCCCCTGCATAACCTCCTCCTGCAGCCCCTGCATCACCTCTTCCTGCATCCCCCCTGCATCACCTCCTCCTGCAGCCCCCCTGCATCACCTCCTCCTGCAGCCCCTGCATCACCTCCTCCTGCAGCCCCTGCATCACCTCCTCCTGCATCCCCTGCATCACCTCCTCCTGCAGCCCCTGCATCACCTCTTCCTGCATCCCCCCTGCATCACCTCCTGCAGCGCCTGCATCACCTCCTGCAGCCCCTGCATCACCTCCTCCTGCAGCCCCTGCATCACCTCCTCCTGCAGCCCCTGCATCACCTCCTCCTGCAGCCCCCCTGCATCACCTCCTCCTGCATCCCCTGCATCACCTCCTCCTGCAGCCCCTGCATCACCTCCTCCTGCAGCCCCTGCATCACCTCCTCCTGCAGCCCCTGCATCACCTCCTGCAGCCCCTGCATCACCTCCTCCTGCATCCCCCCTGCATCACCTCCTCCTGCATCCCCCCTGCATCACCTCCTGCAGCCCCTGCATCACCTCCTGCATCCCCCCTGCATCACCTCCTCCTGCATCCCCCCTGCATCACCTCCTCCTGCATCCCCCCTGCATCACCTCCTCCTGCATCCCCTGCATCACCTCCTCCTGCAGCCCCTGCATCACCTCCTCCTGCAGCCCCTGCATCACCTCCTCCTGCAGCCCCTGCATCACCTCCTCCTGCAGCCCCCCTGCATCACCTCCTCCTGCAGCCCCTGCATCACCTCCTCCTGCAGCCCCTGCATCACCTCCTCCTGCAGCCCCCCTGCATCACCTCCTCCTGCAGCCCCTGCATCACCTCCTGCATCCCCCCTGCATCAGCTCCTGCAGCCCCTGCATCACCTCCTGCAGCCCCTGCATCACCTCCTGCAGCCCCTGCATCACCTCCTCCTGCAGCCCCTGCATCACCTCCTGCATCCAAACCCTCACCTGAGCCTGATCCTGCATTGCCCCAAACTGCTCCTCCATCACCCCAACCTTCTCCAGCATCCTGAGCCCCCCTCCATCACCCCAAACAGCCCCCATAACCCCAACCCTGCCCCATAACCCCAAACAGCCCCCATAACCCCAATGCTTCCCCATAACCCCAATGCTTCCCCATAACCCCAACCCTTCCCCATCACCCCAAACAGCCCCCATCACCCCAACCCTTCCCCATAACCCCAACCCTTCCCCATCACCCCAACCCTGCCCCATAACCCCAACCCTTCCCCATCACCCCAACGCTTCCCCATAACCCCAATGCTTCCCCATAACCCCAACCCTTCCCCATCACCCCAACGCTTCCCCATAACCCCAACCCTTCCCCATCACCCCAACGCTTCCCCATAACCCCAACCCTTCCCCATCACCCCAACCCTGCCCCATAACCCCAACCCTTCCCCATCACCCCAACGCTTCCCCATAACCCCAATGCTTCCCCATAACCCCAACCCTTCCCCATAACCCCAACCCTTCCCCATAACCCCAACCCTTCCCCATAGCCCCAACCCTTCCCCATCACCCCAACCCTTCCCCATCACCCCAACCCTTCCCCATCACCCCAACCCTTCCCCATCACCCCAACCCTGCCCCATAACCCCAATGCTTCCCCATAACCCCAACCCTTCCCCATCACCCCAACGCTTCCCCATAACCCCAACCCTTCCCCATCACCCCAATGCTTCCCCATAACCCCAACCCTTCCCCATCACCCCAATGCTTCCCCATAACCCCAACCCTTCCCCATCGCCCCAACCCTTCCCCATCACCCCAACCCTTCCCCATAACCCCAACCCTTCCCCATAACCCCAACCCTTCCCCATAACCCCAACCCTTCCCCATCACCCCAACCCTTCCCCATCACCCCAACCCTTCCCCATCACCCCAACCCTTCCCCATAACCCCAACCCTTCCCCATAACCCCAACCCTTCCCCATCACCCCAACCCTTCCCCATAGCCCCAACCCTTCCCCATAACCCCAACCCTTCCCCATAACCCCAACCCTTCCCCATCACCCCAACCCTTCCCCATAACCCCAACCCTTCCCCATAACCCCAATGCTTCCCCATCACCCCAACCCTTCCCCATAACCCCAACCCTTCCCCATCACCCCAACCCTTCCCCATAGCCCCAACCCTTCCCCATAACCCCAACCCTTCCCCATCACCCCAACCCTTCCCCATCACCCCAACCCTTCCCCATCACCCCAACCCTTCCCCATCACCCCAATGCTTCCCCATAACCCCAACCCTTCCCCATCACCCCAACCCTTCCCCATAACCCCAACCCTTCCCCATAGCCCCAACCCTTCCCCATCACCCCAACCCTTCCCCATCGCCCCAACCCTTCCCCATGCCCCCGGGCCTCATCCTGCCCTGTTCCCCGCAGCTCGTGCGCATCGCCAAGGTGCTGGGCACCGAGGAGCTCTACGATTACATCGACAAGTACGGCATCGACCTGGACCCGCGCTTCAACGACATCCTGGGCAGGTGGGGCCGCCCGCCGCATCCTGTCCGCCCCATTGAGCCCATCCGCCCCACTGACCCCAACCCATCCCATAGACCCCAACCCAACCCATCCAGCCCATAGACCCCATCTGCCCCATAGACCCCAACCCATCCCATCCAACCCATAGACCCCATCCACTCCATAGACCCCAACCCATCCACCCCATTGACCCCATCCACCCCATTGACCCCATCCACCCCATTGACCCCATCCCCCCCATCCCATTGACCCCATCCACCCCATAGACCCCATCCACCCCATAGACCCCATCCACCCCATAGACCCCAGCCCATCCACCCCATTGACCCCATCCACCCCATTGACCCCATCCCATCCCATCCACCCCATTGACCCCAGCCCATTCATCCCATTGACCCCATCCGCCCCATTGACCCCAGCCCAGCCCAACCCATCCCATCCACCCCATTGACCCCATCCATCCCATTGACCCCAGCCCATTGACCCCAGCCCATCCATCCCATAGACCCCATCTCATCCACCCCATAGACCCCAGCCCATCCATCCCATTGACCCCATCCACCCCATTGACCCCAGCCCATCCACCCCATTGACCCCATCCACCCCATAGACCCCATCCGCCCCATTGACCCCATAAACCCCATCCACCCCATAGACCCCATCCGCCCCATTGACCCCATAAACCCCATCCACCCCATAGACCCCATCCCATCCACCCCATTGACCCCATCCCACCCCATCCACCACATAGACCCCATCCCATCCCATCCCATTGACCCCATCCACCCCATAGACCCCATCCCATCCATCCCAGCCCATCCACCCCATTGACCCCATCCCATCCATCCCATTGACCCCATCCCATCCATCCCATCCCATCCATCCCATTGACCCCATCCCATCCATCCCATCCCATCCATCCCATTGACCCCAGCCCATCCCATCCACCCCATTGACCCCATCCCATCCCATCCATCCATCCCATTGACCCCATCCCATTCATCCCATTGACCCCATCCCATCCATCCCATCCCATCCACCCCATTGACCCCATCCCATCCACCCCATTGACCCCATCCACCCCATAGACCCCAACCCATCCCTGCCCATCCACCCCATCCGCCCCATTGACCCCATCCCATCCCCCCCATTGACCCCATCCCCCCCATTGACCCCATCCCATCCCCCCCATCCCATTGACCCCATCCCATCCCATCCACCCCATTGACCCCACCCCATTGACCCCAGCCCATCCATCCCAGCCCATCCCATCCACCCCATTGACCCCATCCCATTGACCCCAGCCCATCCCATCCACCCCATTGACCCCATCCCATCCCATCCATCCCATTGACCCCATCCCATTCATCCCATTGACCCCATCCCATCCATCCCATCCCATCCACCCCATAGACCCCAGCCCATCCCTGCCCATCCACCCCATCCATCCCATTGACCCCATCCCATCCCCCCCATTGACCCCATCCCCCCCATTGACCCCATCCCATCCCCCCCATCCCATTGACCCCATCCCATCCCATCCACCCCATTGACCCCACCCCATTGACCCCAGCCCATCCATCCCAGCCCATCCCATCCACCCCATTGACCCCATCCCATTGACCCCAGCCCATCCCATCCACCCCATTGACCCCATCCCATCCCATCCATCCCATTGACCCCATCCCATCCATCCCATTGACCCCATCCCATCCATCCCACCCCATCCATCCCATTGACCCCACCCCATCCCCCCCATTGACCCCATCCCCCCCCCATTCCCGTTTTCCCGCAGGCACTCCCGGAAGCGTTGGGAACGTTTCGTGCACAGCGAGAACCAGCACCTGGTGAGCGCCGAGGCCCTGGACTTCCTGGACCAGCTCCTGCGCTACGACCACCAGAGCCGGCTCACGGCGCGCGACGCCATGGAGCACCCCTACTTCTGTATGTGGGGCTGCCCCATAGCGAGCGACCTGACCCATAGAGAGCACCCCTACTTCTGTATGTGGGGCTGACCCATAGCGAGCAACCTGACCCATAGCGAGCACCCCTACTTCTGTATGTGGGGCTGCCCCATAGCGAGCGACCTGACCCATAGCGAGCACCCTGACCCATAGCGAGCACCCTGACCCATAGCGAGCACCCTGACCCATAGAGAGCACCCCTACTTCTGTATGTGGGGCTGCCCCATAGAGAGCAACCTGACCCATAGAGAGCACCCCTACTTCTGTATGTGGGGCTGACCCATAGAGAGCAACCTGACCCATAGAGAGCGACCTGACCCATAGAGAGCAACCTGACCCATAGAGAGCACCCCTACTTCTGTGCGTGGGGCTGACCCATAGCGAGCGACCTGACCCATAGCGAGCACCCTGACCCATAGAGAGCACCCCTACTTCTGTGCGTGGGGCTGCCCCATAGAGAGCGACCTGACCCATAGAGAGCAACCTGACCCATAGAGAGCGACCTGACCCATAGAGAGCAACCTGACCCATAGCGAGCAACCTGACCCATAGCGAGCACCCCTACTTCTGTGCGTGGGGCTGCCCCATAGCGAGCTCCCTGACCCATAGAGAGCACCCTGACCCATAGCGAGCACCCCTGACCCATAGAGAGCTCCCTGACCCATAGAGAGCACCCTGACCCATAGAGAGCACCCCTACTTCTGTGCGTGGGGCTGCCCCATAGCGAGCAACCTGACCCATAGAGAGCACCCTGACCCATAGCGAGCGACCTGACCCATAGAGAGCGACCTGACCCATAGAGAGCACCCCTACTTCTGTGCGTGGGGCTGCCCCATAGCGAGCACCCTGACCCATAGAGAGCAACCTGACCCATAGAGAGCACCCTGACCCATAGCGAGCTCCCTGACCCATAGCGAGCACCCTGACCCATAGAGAGCAACCCTACTTCTGTATGTGGGGCTGCCCCATAGCGAGCAACCTGACCCATAGCGAGCGACCTGACCCATAGAGAGCACCCTGACCCATAGAGAGAGCACCCTGACCCACAGCGAGCACCCTGACCCATAGCGAGCACCCCTACTTCTGTATGTGGGGCTGCCCCATAGCGAGCGACCTGACCCATAGAGAGCAACCTGACCCACAGCGAGCACCCCTACTTCTGTGCGTGGGGCTGCCCCATAGCGAGCTCCCTGACCCATAGAGAGCAACCTGACCCATAGCGAGCGACCTGACCCATAGAGAGCAACCTGACCCATAGAGAGCACCCTGACCCATAGAGAGCACCCTGACCCATAGCGAGCAACCTGACCCATAGAGAGCAACCTGACCCATAGCGAGCGACCTGCCCCATAGCGAGCTCCCTGACCCATAGCGAGCTCCCTGACCCATAGCGAGCAACCTGACCCATACAGAGCAACCTGACCCATAGCGAGCACCCTGACCCATAGCGAGCACCCTGACCCATAGAGAGCACCCTGACCCATAGCGAGCACCCCTACTTCTGTATGTGGGGCTGCCCCATAGCGAGCACCCTGACCCATAGAGAGCTCCCTGACCCATAGCGAGCACCCTGACCCATAGAGAGCACCCCTACTTCTGTATGTGGGGCTGACCCATAGCGAGCGACCTGACCCATAGCGAGCACCCTGACCCATAGCGAGCACCCCCTGACCCATAGCGAGCACCCCTGACCCATAGCGAGCACCCTGACCCATAGAGAGCACCCCTACTTCTGTGCGTGGGGCTGACCCATAGCGAGCACCCTGACCCATAGCGAGCACCCTGACCCATAGCAAGCACCCCTGACCCATAGCGAGCACCCCTACTTCTGTATGTGGGGCTGCCCCATAGCGAGCAGGCCGGACCCATAGAGAGCAACCTGACCCATAGAGAGCAACCTGACCCATAGAGAGCTCCCTGACCCATAGAGAGCAACCTGACCCATAGAGAGCACCCCTACTTCTGTATGTGGGGCTGCCCCATAGCGAGCAGGCCGGACCCATAGAGAGCACCCCTACTTCTGTATGTGGGGCTGCCCCATAGCGAGCAGGCCGGACCCATAGCGAGCAACCTGACCCATAGAGAGCAACCTGACCCATAGAGAGCAACCTGACCCATAGCGAGCATCCCTACTTCTGTATGTGGGGCTGCCCCATAGCGAGCAGGCCGGACCCATAGCGAGCTCCCTGACCCATAGCGAGCACCCCTACTTCTGTATGTGGGGCTGACCCATAGCGAGCTCCCTGACCCATAGCGAGCACCCTGACCCATAGCGAGCACCCTGACCCATAGCGAGCACCCCTACTTCTGTGCGTGGGGCTGACCCATAGCGACCAACCTGACCCACAGAGAGCACCCCTACTTCTGTGCGTGGGGCTGCCCCATAGCGAGCAACCTGACCCATAGAGAGCACCCTGACCCATAGCGAGCGACCTGACCCATAGAGAGCGACCTGACCCATAGAGAGCACCCCTACTTCTGTGCGTGGGGCTGCCCCATAGCGAGCACCCTGACCCATAGAGAGCAACCTGACCCATAGAGAGCACCCTGACCCATAGCGAGCTCCCTGACCCATAGCGAGCACCCTGACCCATAGAGAGCAACCCTACTTCTGTATGTGGGGCTGCCCCATAGCGAGCAACCTGACCCATAGCGAGCGACCTGACCCATAGAGAGCACCCTGACCCATAGAGAGAGCACCCTGACCCACAGCGAGCACCCTGACCCATAGCGAGCACCCCTACTTCTGTATGTGGGGCTGCCCCATAGCGAGCGACCTGACCCATAGAGAGCAACCTGACCCACAGCGAGCACCCCTACTTCTGTGCGTGGGGCTGCCCCATAGCGAGCTCCCTGACCCATAGAGAGCAACCTGACCCATAGCGAGCGACCTGACCCATAGAGAGCAACCTGACCCATAGAGAGCACCCTGACCCATAGAGAGCACCCTGACCCATAGCGAGCAACCTGACCCATAGAGAGCAACCTGACCCATAGCGAGCGACCTGCCCCATAGCGAGCTCCCTGACCCATAGCGAGCTCCCTGACCCATAGCGAGCAACCTGACCCATACAGAGCAACCTGACCCATAGCGAGCACCCTGACCCATAGCGAGCACCCTGACCCATAGAGAGCACCCTGACCCATAGCGAGCACCCCTACTTCTGTATGTGGGGCTGCCCCATAGCGAGCACCCTGACCCATAGAGAGCTCCCTGACCCATAGCGAGCACCCTGACCCATAGAGAGCACCCCTACTTCTGTATGTGGGGCTGACCCATAGCGAGCGACCTGACCCATAGCGAGCACCCTGACCCATAGCGAGCACCCCCTGACCCATAGCGAGCACCCCTGACCCATAGCGAGCACCCTGACCCATAGAGAGCACCCCTACTTCTGTGCGTGGGGCTGACCCATAGCGAGCACCCTGACCCATAGCGAGCACCCTGACCCATAGCAAGCACCCCTGACCCATAGCGAGCACCCCTACTTCTGTATGTGGGGCTGCCCCATAGCGAGCAGGCCGGACCCATAGAGAGCAACCTGACCCATAGAGAGCAACCTGACCCATAGAGAGCTCCCTGACCCATAGAGAGCAACCTGACCCATAGAGAGCACCCCTACTTCTGTATGTGGGGCTGCCCCATAGCGAGCAGGCCGGACCCATAGAGAGCACCCCTACTTCTGTATGTGGGGCTGCCCCATAGCGAGCAGGCCGGACCCATAGCGAGCAACCTGACCCATAGAGAGCAACCTGACCCATAGAGAGCAACCTGACCCATAGCGAGCATCCCTACTTCTGTATGTGGGGCTGCCCCATAGCGAGCAGGCCGGACCCATAGCGAGCTCCCTGACCCATAGCGAGCACCCCTACTTCTGTATGTGGGGCTGACCCATAGCGAGCTCCCTGACCCATAGCGAGCACCCTGACCCATAGCGAGCACCCTGACCCATAGCGAGCACCCCTACTTCTGTGCGTGGGGCTGACCCATAGCGACCAACCTGACCCACAGAGAGCACCCCTACTTCTGTGCGTGGGGCTGCCCCATAGCGAGCAACCTGACCCATAGAGAGCACCCTGACCCATAGAGAGCACCCTGACCCATAGCGAGCACCCCTACTTCTGTATGTGGGGCTGACCCATAGCGAGCTCCCTGACCCATAGCGAGCTCCCTGACCCATAGAGAGCAACCTGACCCATAGAGAGCTCCCTGACCCATAGCGAGCACCCCTACTTCTGTACGTGGGGCTGACCCATAGAGAGCACCCCTACTTCTGTGCATGGGGCTGACCCATAGCGAGCTCCCTGACCCATAGCGAGCACCCTGACCCATAGCGAGCTCCCTGACCCATAGCGAGCTCCCCTGACCCATAGCGAGCACCCCTACTTCTGTACGTGGGGCTGACCCATAGCGAGCACCCCTGACCCATAGCGAGCACCCCTACTTCTGTACGTGGGGCTGACCCATAGCGAGCACCCCTACTTCTGTACATGGGGCTGCCCCAGAGCGAGCACCCCTACTTCTCTGTGTGGGGCTGCCCCATAGCAAGCACCCCTGACCCATAGAGAGCACCCCTACTTCTGTATGTGGGGCTGACCCATAGCGAGCAGGCCTGACCCATAGCGAGCACCCCTACTTCTGTACGTGGGGCTGACCCATAGCGAACAGGCCTGACCCATAGCGAGCAGGCCTGACCTATAGTGAGTACCCCTGACCCATAGCGAGCACCCCTACTTCTGTACATGGGGCTGCCCCAGAGCGAGCACCCCTACTTCTCTGTGTGGGGCTGCCCCATGGCAAGCACCACTACTGCTGTGTGTGGGGCTGCCCCATAGCGAGCAGGCCTGACCCATAGGGAGCACCCTGACCCATACGGAGCATCCCTGACCTATAGGGAGCACCCCTACTTCTTTACATGGGGCCTGCCCCGTAGCCAGCCTCCCTGCCCCATAGCTAGCACCTTGCACCATAGTGAGCATCCCTGCCCTATAGCCAGCACCCTACCCCGTAGCAAGCATCCCTGCCCCATAGGCAGCTCTGTGCCCCATAGCCAGCACCCTGCCCCATAGCTGGCATCTCTCCCCCATAGCCAGCACTGTGCCCCATAGCCAGCACCCTGCCCCATAGGGAGCATCTCTGCCCCATAGCCAGTACTGTGCCCCATAGCCAGCACCCTGCCCCATAGTGAGCATCTCTGCCCCATAGCCAGCACCCTGCCCCATAGCAAGCATCTCTGCCCCATAGCCAGCACCCTGCCCCATAGCTGGCATCTCTGCCCCATAGCCAGCACTGTGCCCCATAGCCAGCACCCTGCCCCATAGCAAGCATCTCTGCCCCATAGCCAGCACCCTGCCCCATAGCGAACATCTCTGCCCCATAGCCAGCACTGTTCCCCATAGCCAGCACCCTGCCCCATCGGGAGCATCCCTGCCCCATAGGGAACACCCTGCCCCATAGGGAACACCCTGCTCCATAGGGAACACCCTGCCCCATAGGGAACACCCTGCCCCATAGCGAGCATCCCTGCCCCATAGGGAACACTGTGCCCATAGGGATCACCCCGCCCCATAGGGAACACCCTGCCCCATAGGGATCACCCTGCCCCATAGGGATCACCCCGCCCCATAGGGAACACCCCGCCCCATAGGGAACATCCTGCCCCATAGGGATCACCCTGCCCCATAGGGAACACCCTGCTCCATCGGGAGCATCCCTGCCCCACAGGGAACACCCTGCCCCATAGGGAACACCCTGCCCCATAGGGAACACCCTGCTCCATAGGGAGCATCCCTGCCCCACAGGGAACACCCTGCCCCATAGGGAACACACTGCTCCACAGGGAACACCCTGCCCCATAGGGAACACCCTGCCCCACAGGGATCACCCCGCCCCATAGGGATCACCCCGCCCCATAGCGAGCATCCCTGCCCCATAGGGATCACCCTGCCCCATAGGGAACACCCCGCCCCATAGGGATCACCCTGCCCCATAGGGAGCACCCTGCCCCATAGGGATCACCCCGCCCCATAGGGAACACCCTGCCCCATAGCGAGCATCCCTGCCCCATAGGGATCACCCTGCCCCATAGGGATCCCCCGCGCTGGGGCCGCTGCCCCCAGCCCCCATGGGTGCTCCCAGAGGTCCCATGGGTGCTGCCCTCTCCCCACAGACCCCATCGCCAAGGACCCCGCGCGGGGCAGCGCCGGGGCCGGGATCTCCCCCAGCAGCGCCCCCGCCCCCTCCTCGTCCTCCTCCTCCTCGGGGCTCCTGGGAGGTGGGGGATGGGGGGGATGGGGGGGATGGGATGGGATGGGATAAATGAGGATGGGATGGGGGGGATGGGGTGGGGGGATGGGGGGATGGGATGGGATGGGATGGGATAAATGGGGATGGGGGAATGGGATGGGATGGGGGGATGGGATTGGGTGGGATGGGATGGATGGGATGGGATGGGGGGATGGGATAAGTGGGATGGGGGGGATGGGGGGATGGGATGGGGGGATGGGGGGGATGGGGGGATGGGGTGGGGGGATGGGATAAGTGGGATGGGATGGGATAAATGGGATGGAGTGGGATGGGATGGATGGGATGGGATGGGGGGATGGGATAAGTGGGATGGGGGGGATGGGGGGATGGGATGGGGGGATGGGGGGGATGGGGGGATGGGATGGGGGGATGGGATATGTGGAATGGATGGGATGGGATGGGATGGGATGGGGGGGATGGGATGGGTTGGGGGGATGGGATGGGATGGATGGGATGGGGGGGATGGGATGGGGTGGGGGATGGGATGGGATGGGATGGGATGGGGTTGGATGGGATGGATGGGGTGGGGGTGGGGATGGATGGGATGGGGGGGGATGGATGGATGGGGTGGGGGATGGGGGGATGGGGTGGGGGATGGGATGGATGGGATGGGGGGGGATGGGATGGATGGGGTGGGATGGGGTGGGGGTGGGGATGGATGGGGTGGATGGGGTGGGGGATGGGATGGGGATGGGGATGGATGGGATGGATGGGGTGGGGGTGGGATGGGGTTGGATGGGGTGGGGGATGGGGGGATGGGATGGGGTGGGGGGGGGTGGATGGAATGGGATGGGGTGGGGGGGATGGGATGGGATGGGATGGATGGGATGGGGAAAGGGATGGATGGGGTGGGGGATGGGGGTATGGGATGGGTGGGGGTGGGGATGGATGGGATGGATGGGATGGATGGGGTGGGGGATGGATGGGGGATGGGGGGATGGGATGGATGGGATGGGGTTGGATGGGATGGATGGGGGGTGGGGGTGGGGCTGGGCAGTCTGTGTTTCCCCCTAAATCTCTCTGGTCCCTCCTGGGGGGCTCCGTGCCGGGGGGTCCCAGCAGGCGCCGCCCCCCCCCATTCCCGGTGTTCCCCCGCAGGGAGCAGCCCCATGGCCCCGTCCCAGCCCCCCCCCGCCGCCGCCGCCGCCCCGCCCCCCACCGCGGGCTCCCCGGCAGCCGGGGCCCAGCCTTGAGCCCGAGCCCCGCCCCCCCCTGACCCATTCCCGCGGGAGGGGCAGAGGAGTCATAGAGGAGTCATAGAGGAGTCATACTGTCATAGAGGAGTCATAGAGGAGTCATAGAGGAGTCATAGAGGAGTCATAGAGGAGTCATAGAGGAGTCACAGAGGAGTCACGGAGGAGTCATACTGTCATAGAGGAGTCATAGAGGAGTCATAGAGGAGTCATACTGTCATAGAGGAGTCATAGAGGAGTCATAGAGGAGTCATAGAGGAGTCTTACTGTCATAGAGGAGTCATAGAGGAGTCATAGAGGAGTCATAGAGGAGTCATAGAGGAGTCATAGAGGAGTCATAGAGGAGTCATAGAGGAGTCAGAGGAGTCATAGAGGAGTCATAGAGGAGTCTTACTGTCATAGAGGAGTCATAGAGGAGTCATAGAGGAGTCATAGAGGAGTCATAGAGGAGTGTCATAGAGGAGTCTTAGAGGAGTCATAGAGGAGTCATAGAGGAGTCATAGAGGAGTCATGGAGGAGTCATAGTGGAGTCATAGTGGAGTCATAGAGGAGTCATAGAGGAGTCATAGAGGAGTCATAGAGGAGTCATACTGTCATAGAGGAGTCGTAGAGGAGTCATAGTGTCATAGAGGAGTCATAGAGGAGTCATAGAGGACTCATAGAGGAGTCATACTGTCATAGAGGAGTCATAGAGGAGTCATAGAGGAGTCATAGAGGAGTCATAGAGGAGTCATACTGTCATAGAGGAGTCATAGAGCAGTCATAGAGGAGTCATACTGTCATAGAGGAGTCATAGAGGAGTCATACTGTCATAGAGGAGTCATAGAGGAGTCATACTGTCATAGAGGAGTCATAGAGGAGTCATAGAGGAGTCATAGAGGAGTCATAGAGGAGTCATAGAGGAGTCATAGAGGAGTCATAGAGGAGTCATAGAGGAGTCACAGAGGAGTCACAGAGGAGTCATACTGTCATAGAGGAGTCATAGAGGAGTCACAGAGGAGTCATACTGTCATAGAGGAGTCATAGAGGAGTCATAGAGGAGTCATAGAGGAGTCATATAGGACTCATAGAGGAGTCATACTGTCATAGAGGAGTCATAGAGGAGTCATAGAGGAGTCATAGAGGAGTCATAGAGGAGTCATAGAGGAGTCATAGAGGAGTCATAGAGGAGTCATAGAGGAGTCATACTGTCATAGAGGAGTCATAGAGCAGTCATAGAGTAGTCATACTGTCATAGAGGAGTCATAGAGGAGTCATACTGTCATAGAGGAGTCATAGAGGAGTCATAGAGGAGTCATAGAGGAGTCATACTGTCATAGAGGAGTCATAGAGGAGTCATAGAGGAGTCATAGAGGAGTCATAGAGGAGTCATATAGGACTCATAGAGGAGTCATACTGTCATAGAGGAGTCATAGAGGAGTCATAGAGGAGACAGAGAAGAGTCATAGAGGAGTCACAGAGGAGTCATAGAGGAGTCATACTGTCATAGAGGAGTCATAGAGAGTCATAGAGGAGTCATAGAGGAGTCATAGAGGAGTCATAGAGGAGTCATACTGTCATAGAGGAGTCATAGAGGAGTCATAGAGGAGTCATAGAGGAGTCATACTGTCATAGAGGAGTCATAGAGGAGTCATAGAGGAGTCATAGAGGAGTCATACTGTCATAGAGGAGGCGTAGAGGAGTCATAGTGTCATAGAGGAGTCATAGAGGAGTCATAGAGGACTCATACAGGAGTCATAGGGGAGTCATAGAGGAGTCATAGAGGAGTCATAGAGGAGTCATAGAGGAGTCATAGAGGAGTCATAGAGGAGTCATAGAGGAGTCATACTGTCATAGAGGAGTCATAGAGGAGTCATAGAGGAGTCATACTGTCATAGAGGAGTCATAGAGGAGTCATAGAGGAGTCATAGAGGAGTCATACTGTCATAGAGGAGTCATAGAGGAGTCATAGAGGAGTCATACTGTCATAGAGGAGTCATAGAGGAGTCATAGAGGAGTCATAGAGGAGTCATAGAGGAGTCATAGAGGAGTCTTAGAGGAGTCATAGAGGAGTCATAGAGGAGTCATAGAGGAGTCATACTGTCATAGAGGAGTCATAGAGGAGTCATAGAGGAGTCATAGAGGAGTCATAGAGGAGTCATAGAGGAGTCATACTGTCATAGAGGAGTCATAGAGGAGTCATAGAGGAGTCATAGAGGAGTCATAGAGGAGTCATAGAGGAGTCATAGAGGAGTCATACTGTCATAGAGGAGTCATAGAGGAGTCATAGAGGAGTCATACTGTCATAGAGGAGTCATAGAGGAGTCATAGAGGAGTCAGAGGAGTCATAGAGAAGTCATAGAGTAGTCATAGAGGAGTCATAGTGGAGTCATAGAGGAGTCACAGAGGAGTCACAGAGGAGTCATACTGTCATAGAGGAGTCATAGAGGAGTCATAGAGGAGTCATAGAGGAGTCATAGAGGAGTCATAGAGGAGTCACAGAGGAGTCACAGAGGAGTCATAGAGGAGTCATAGAGGAGTCATAGAGGAGTCATACTGTCATAGAGGAGTCATAGAGGAGTCATAGAGGAGTCATAGAGGAGTCATAGAGGAGTCATAGAGGAGTCATAGAGGAGTCATACTGTCATAGAGGAATCATAGAGTAGTCATAGAGGAGTCATATTTTCATAGGGGAGGCATAGAGGATTCATACTGTCATACAGGAGTCATAGAGGAGTCATAGAGGAGTCATAGAGGAGTCATAGAGGAGTCATAGAGGAGTCATAGAGGAGTCATAGAGGAGTCATAGAGGTGTCATAGAGGAGTCATACTGTCATAGAGGAGTCATAGAGGAGTCATACTGTCATAGAGGAGTCATAGAGGAGTCATAGAGGAGTCATAGAGGAGTCATACTGTCATAGAGGAGTCATAGAGGAGTCATAGAGGAGTCATAGAGGAGTCATAGAGGAGTCATAGAGGAGTCATAGAGGAGTCATAGAGGAGTCTTACTGTCATAGAGGAGTCATAGAGGAGTCATAGAGGAGTCATAGAGGAGTCATAGAGGAGTCATACTGTCATAGAGGAGTCATAGAGGAGTCATGGAGGAGTCAGAGAGGAGTCAGAGGAGTCATAGAGGAGTCATAGAGGAGTCTTACTGTCATAGAGGAGTCATAGAGGAGTCATAGAGGAGTCATAGAGGAGTCATAGAGGAGTCATAGAGGAGTCATACTGTCATAGAGGAGTCTTAGAGGAGTCATAGAGGAGTCATAGAGGAGTCATAGAGGAGTCATGGAGGAGTCATAGTGGAGTCATAGTGGAGTCATAGAGGAGTCATAGAGGAGTCATAGAGGAGTCATAGAGGAGTCATACTGTCATAGAGGAGTCGTAGAGGAGTCAT